ATTCAACTCTCCCCCCCCCCCTTCCTACTCTCCCCCCTTCCCTAGGAAACTTCCTGCTCTATTCACTGTCCTCTCGAATTTGGCTAAAAGCCCCAAAACACAACCTCTACGTTTCATCCTTACACTGCAAGTTCTTTGATGAAGGAGTTAAATCAGGGCTGCAAGTATCTGTGTGTGAGTACTTTTCCCCCCTCTGGCAGATAATCATTGTGCAGAAATAGATATAATTGTGTCCTTTGTGGCGAAAACAGCACTTGTATCATTAGATTCCTTTGCTCTTCTCAAATTATAACATCAACCCGAAATAGTTTGCAAACCAACTTGCCAAGACTTCTGTGGTGAAATTTTGATTGCAGCCACTTTTCCAAGAACAAGTGAGATCCTTATTTTTCCTTTAGTCTTCTAATTTCACGCAGAGGAAAGATTCCTCCTCTGCAGCAGATAGAGATCGACAAATCCCAGACAAATCAGCAGGGCATAGATGTCATCAAGCTGCCGAGCATTCCGCACCCTGATCCCAATTCAAGGTCAAACAAGCAGCAATTATACAATCCCCAAACCTCGGATAAAAAGCATTATTTTCAGCCAAATCCCTCTCTGTAATAAGGCGATGATTGATGTGCGACTGTTGCTGAAGAGTTGCTGGAAGCGTTCGGCCAGACAAATGGAAACAATGTGAAAACACTCTCTGAAGGATGGAATTTCCCGCCGACTTCTTAGATGAAGTCGGCATTTGAGAATTTCACCCAGATATGTAAATGTGCGTCCGTGTGAGCTGAACAGCTGTGCCTGGTTTGGATCAGTCTTTGGAAACTCGTAGGTGTCAGATCAGCCAAAACAGAGAGCTGAGGAGACGAAAACACCGCAAGACAAATTTACATAAACCTTTATTCCTGCTAGAAAATATAAGCTCATAGTTTAAAATATTTTATTTGGAATAACCTCAGTGTGTTCTGAAAACAGAAGAGTAGTAATTCCACTTTTTTTGCGTTCCCATTGGTGGATTCTGTGTTTCCAAGCTTTCACACATGCTTGTTTGAGGGTATGGGCCTTTAAGGAACCCCCTCCTGCTTTCTTCATAGACTGAAGTCATTATGGGAAACACTTTCGGACAGCACAGGACAGGACGAGGATGGTGGAGGGGCGGCGGAAGTTTTTCTTGGGTCATTCCCAGCCGTTTCCAGAGATCTCGAGTTTCTCCCCGTCCAGTTTTGTATTCAGATCCTCTTCCTCCCCCGACAGGCCGGGGGAAGGCAGGCAGTTGCGTCTCCAGGCCCCTTCTCACCCCCGCATAATAGTTTCCTTCCTCCCCGAGCCTCTCACCTGAAAAAAGAGTTGGAGGGAAGACAGCGGAGGGAAATAGTCATCTTTTCATCCCAGGGATGGACTGAAGTAACCCTTCAGCTGGAGAGGAAACCCAATACTGCCTCCAGCTCGATGTCTGAGAGCGCAGAGAGGAGAGGGCACGGGGGGGCCAAAGTGGTTCCATGTGAGAGAAGGAAGGGAAGTCTGGGAACGGCAGAGATCGACACCCTGAACACTCCCTGCCCTTTACTCCCCCTCTTTCCAGCTCAAACCACCTTACAGTGGTCCCCAGAGTCCCATCCTTGATTTTGGACTTGGTCAATCTTGTAAACTATCAGCACTGACGGAGATTACAGCTTCTGCTGCTTTCTTTTGGTTTCCTTTGAGAACTTAAGATTTCAATTACCCTTATCAGTACTGCCCTTAAGTTTCTTTTCTGTCCTCTCTGCTCTGTCCTTTTATTTGCTGATGCTCTTCTGCATGGTAAACTTTTCTTTAGTTTCATCCTTGTATTCTATTCATGTCTCATTCAGTTTTCTCTCAGAGTCATTTCTGCTCTACATTTCTCTCTGCATTACTGTTTTTAATTGAGTGCTTTTCTATCTAAATGTGTGCTCCTTTTATTTCCATTCAAGCCTGTGTGATCGATTCAGTCACAGTCAGCTCTGCTCTAATCTACCTGATTTCCTTTTTCAGTTTTAATATGAATCAGTTTCAGATCGCCTCCTGAACCTGCTGGAGCAACAGAAGCAGCAGCAGCAGCAGCAGCAGCTCCAGTCTGTTCAGGTCTCTTCCTCCCCTGTGGAGCCGCTCTGAGGAGGACCACTAATATCTGCAGACATCTATGGCCACCGCCCAATCTGCTGCACGCTCCGTTCACTTCACGCGCTGCCAGAAGTGCTTTGTAATTATCCTGATATTGATGAAGGCTGATTCCAGCAGGTAATCGCTGGCAGTTCAGCTGCTTTTACGCATCTCAGCAAAATGTCTCTATCCATTACTAGTGGCAAATTAATTTCCACTCAATGACCATACTTGTTGATAAGCTGTGTGTGTGTGTGTGTGTGTGTATGTGTGTGTGTGTGTGTGTGTGTGTGTGTGCAGGGCTCTGATCCGCAGCATATAACAGGGTTTACCTCACACAAAGACAACTGTAACTGTTGACACGACACACTGGACCGTATCTGCTGCAGGTGCGTCATTCACTTTGTATAAATACTGCTGGTCGTGAAAGCACCACAGGATATAGAAAGAACACACATCGTAAAAGAATATGATATTGGGATGAAGATTGAAATGAATAAAAGGTTAAAGAAAACAGAATAACGAAAGCATTGCAAAAGAATAGATATGATAAACGGGAATGTGGACAAAGATTATTATATAATGTTCAAAACAAAAAGTTGGTCGACCATCCCTATACATGTGATTCACACTCAGGCATCGTGTACAGGACAGGATGCCAAAACTCACAGACTGCCCAAAGGGACATCTGCCTGTGCTGTGTCTGGACTTAACTGTCCTGGATATGCAGCTGAGGATCTTAGAGCTGTGATAAATGACCGCTTTACACTTAAATAAGACGTTTCTGCAGCCTGCTGTGATGCTTTGTGATGTATTGGAGATCCCTCACAGCAGCACTAAGGGTAAATAAATACGCTTTAAAAGAGTAAATGAGCTTGAGCAAAGTGGCCCTTTGAGTCTGCATGTTTGTGGAGCAGCCATAATGGATTCTTTAGAGCCGTGAACGGTTTATAGGCATGACAGCCATGTTTCGGCACGATGGGCTTATCCCTACGCACGGCGCTAAGGATATTAGGGAATCAGCGTAAAGCAGCATGGAAATGATGACTGGAGCAAAGCCTCAGCTCGATGGTATTATAAGCCCTCATTTCTGCAGCGCTCCATCCTCGGGAGGAGAGGGGGAAGGAGCGGACTTGGCATAGCTCCACGGTGTGATGTCCTCCTTTATTTCTTTGCGCCATCTCTGTTTTAGCTGTACAATTAAAAGGATGTCACCCAATCTGGGGACGGGGCAAATGTAACGCAGGTCAGTGTCGCCTATTGTGGTGTTTCCCTCTCAAGGCGGCGCAGGATTCCTTGTAGTCCATATGGAGATCTGTTGGAGGAGCTGGAGGAGAGCCAAGTCTCCAATAATAATAATAGTAATAAAACATTTATTTTAGAAAGCGCTTTTCAGGCTTGGCAGTTGTTTATTGCTTGGCAGGGAGCTCGAGCATCGTATGAAGCACTGATGGCACATGCCAAACATGAAAACAGACGCCCATAAGGTTCCCCAAATGAAATCCTTTTATGTTCACGTCACAGCAAATGTTTGCACTGTAACATAACCGTTTTCACAGAAACTGTCAAGTGTTTGCTTCTCATTAAGTCAGCCCAACTGTGTGAGTATTTTTTAGGAATTTATGAACTGTTGCTTCCTCGGAGTTCATTCATTTTGGATCATGGACGCCACAGAGGGCTTTCTAATGATCATAAAGTTGGTACTTGCCAAATTTGATGAAGTATTTGACTGAGGAACTGCACAAAAAGTTGCTCTCTTTTTTTTTGCTGCATCCAAATAATCTAAGCGGTCGTCTTCTGGGAAAGTCTGGAAGTTGTGATGAGATGAATCTTTTTTTATTGTTTGACTCTTACGGTTACTCAAAGCTTAAGAGACCCCCCACACCACGCCCATTTGGACCAGCTAACAGTTTAACAAGAACTACTTGGAAGGTGTCCATCAAGAATTCATTCACACCCTGCAGCCAATCAGATTTGAGTATTCACCCAGACCCTGATATAAAAAGGTTTAACCTGTGAATAACATTATATGGCTTCAGAAATGAGTTAATGCACCACTTTGCAGTCGTTACATTTTAAGTTGCTTCACTAAGTTGCAGGGTTTACCTAAGTCCACGGTGAGTGCCAAATGAATATCTCCACTGCACACCCACGGTGGCTCCGCCTGTCAGAGACGGGCCTCAGCAGAAGCATGATTAATGTCCCACCTATCACCCCCCACTGTAAATTAGAGACCACGGGTCGAAACTATTTTTCTTGGTGAGCAAGAGCACGCTCGTGGCTAAAAAACGGGGCAAACACTGTTTATCATCCGCCCGACGACAGCCCACCTCGGGGCAAATTAACCACACAGCCATATCGACTGGCACGGGCCGGGAGTCAGTGCCCCTTCACTTTGATTAATCTCCCCGTGTTCCTGTTCCAACTCTATCAAAGTGATCTAAGTGAAGACACACTGCATTGATCTGTAAACACAGCATAGCACTGTACCCGACACACACACACACACACACACACACACACACACAAACACACACAACCAACCTATAACACCTGATATATTTAAATAAGGTTTGCTCACAGTTTGAACTGTCTTTAAGGTAAATGCTAACATTTGAACACAGGTAGGCTACTCACAATCAACTTATTAAATACAGGATATAAAGGTGCAGGGGAGGGGGAGGGAGTTTACCGGTTCTTGCCTCCTTGAAGCTATGAGCCTGTTTTTTTGGACTTTGTGGTTCAAGATCTGGATTTACTGCACAGTCACATCTTGTTAAACATCAAACTGATAAAAGTAACAACTCAATGATTGAAATGTCACATTGAAATCTCTAGAAATGGTGGTTTAATGTTTGACCATTGTCACACTTAAAGCTGATGCATCTTTTTCCTTTCCCTATTTGAAGGTGTTGTGCCAAAGTGAGAGTTTCACAGGTAGACAAACTGACTTCTTTACTGCGGACAATCCAGACAGAAAGCTGCGCATCAGGGTGAGTTTGGAGGAGGCTTCTTTAAAGATTTTTAAAGAAGGGAACATGGATAGATTGTTTTAATTTATTTTGTGTTTAGAAAAATCTGCTATCCTGAAACTATGATGAGTTTATTGCTGTTTATGAAGTTAGAAGAACTATTTTTTAACAGATTCTTTTTACATATTTTCTGTTCCTGCTGGTATTGATGGAGGCTTTAATCTAAGTATCAAGCTGAATAAAATGTCAACCTCAAAGACAACATTATTGTACTGATCTAATGAGCCATTTTCAGTTTCATTGTACCAACTACGTGTACTGCAACTTGCAATGTCTAATATTTGAGACAAGCATATGTTACTGTGGGGATACAGCAGCTACATATACTGTATATAAATGGACTTTCTAGCTTCTATTTATTTATTCTTTCAACATTGTGATCCCATGATTCACATGTACTTTTTATCTGTAGATGGATTCATTTTCTCGACCTGAATTGTTTGATTTCCACGGAGTCTCGATGATTCCCAGTTTCACTGAAAACTGGGAGAACATTCAAAACTTTCAGGCCAGGCCGGATGATGTGCTTATTGCATCATATCCCAAAGCCGGTCTGTAGAAAACCATGAACTGGATATGTCGTTCCTCTTACAGAGATGTGTGTGTGTGTATAATGTGTAATCATTTTTATCTCTTTTTTAGGGAGCACTTGGCTCTGCCACATCGCTGACCTACTGTATTTTCGCCAGACGTCTCCAGAGCGTGAAAAATCCCTTCAACTCCATTTAAGAGTGCCCCACTTGGAGGCCAGTTTTGTGGTGCCAGGTAAAAAACTAACTAAATTGAATGAGTATAATTGAGTGTATTTAATGCTAGGCCATTAAAGGGGGTGGCAGTAGCTAAACCTGTATGGACTTGGGTTGGGGACTGGAGGGTCACTGTTCAAGTCCCAGCCGAGAATATTTAAGTTGGTCTAGTCTCCTTTCGAGTACTGCAGAGGATCCCCTGAGCAAGGCACCAACTGTTTTTATTTAGAAAGAGCACTGTATGATTCACCAACATGTAACCTACTCGATTCATCTCCAGGAACAGGTCCACCTCCGAAACGTTTTAATGGAACGGAGACGGTAAACAACCTCAAAAACTCCCCTCGACTGATCAGGACTCATCTTCCAATCCAGTTTCTGCCAAAGTCCTTTTTGGAGCAAAACTGCAAGGTGATTCAGACAATTACAACCTAGAGGCTAACATTGATGGGAACGTTCAGTTATACTGTATTGTTACATTTTAAAGGGGACATATTATGAAAATCCACTTGTACAGTGTTTTTGAACATATATTTGTGTAACCTGAGTGTCTACTGACCCACAAAATGTGAAATAAATCCATTCAGTCCTTTGTTTGTGGGTTTGTATAAGTCTTACAACACAGAGAAAAATGCTCTGTTTCAAATTTGCTCTTCTTGTGATGTCACAGTGGGATTCTGGTATCTCCGCCCATGGACTCCACCCCCAGCCTAGAGCAAAACTTTAGCGCATGTCCACCATGTTTATTCTCGCTATAGAGGAGTGATGTCTACTGTGAAAACTCAGGGGGGGATCATTACATTTAAAGAGACACACACACCAAAACGGAGCGTTCTGAGAGAGCTGGTTTATACAGGGTCACAAACCTCCTCTGGTGCTTGATTCATGTTATACTTTGACCAAAGCACAGCACAGATGTTTCATTTAGACCACAGGGGACTGTTTGAAAAGGTGGAAGAGGGGTATAATATGTCCTCTTTTAAACCTTTAATAGACTGCTGCATTTCCAGACCAAGCTGCTGAAGCTGTTATAACGTCAATTGACCATGAATGAAATTTATATCACGCTTCTTGATAAGTCAAGTGTTTTTTTTCCCCTAAGTAGATCATCTACATAAGTCGCAATGCCAAAGACAGCGTGGTGTCTTACTTCCACTATGAACGCATGACCATATTGAATCCAGAGCCTGGAGACTGGAGCAGCTACCTCCAAAGGTTCATGGACGAAAAGAGTACGTGTTCATTCTAAGAAAAGTTTGTTTTCAGTTGTACAAATATTTACTGAAGTCCAAAGAAACACCAATGAGCTGCTTCATGTTTCCTTTCTGTGGTCTCAGTGGTGTTTGGATCATGGTATGACCATGTCACCGGCTGGTGGAAGAAGAAGCAGACTCATTCACAACTCCATCACATGTTCTATGAGGATCTGATTGAGGTAATCTACATGTCTTTTATGTGATGTTTTCTTGTCTAAATTTGCATTGGCTGCAATCGTGTGAAAGTGATCATTTCACCAATTGCTGACAGGACACTGGACTGGAAATCGACAAACTCTGCCACTTTCTTGGTTTGTCTCCTTCGGTTGAGGAAAAGGAAAGAATAATGAACCAAGTGCATTTTGAAGAAATGAAAACGAACAAAATGGTCAACCATTCATCATTTCGCGTAATGGATGTAAACATTTCACCCTTCATGAGAAAAGGTACAGGAGAGTCATAATATGAAAAACATGTGACGTCACATTTTGAGCTCAAGTATTTACAAGTTCTCTGTTGTTCTGCAGGAAAGGTTGGTGACTGGAAGAACCATTTCACTGTGGCCCAGAACGAAGAGTTTGATGAAGTCTACAAGAAAAAGATGAAGGACCCCACCCTGCAGTTCTGCACTGAACTCTGAAACAGGACTGAACAGGCTCTGAGCGTTATTCATGACTGAAAAAAAGGGATAACTAACACACATGTGAAAGCAGAGGGGCGGAGTTTTTCTTTTTAATAATAGTCTCATGTTAACCAAATATCTGATAGTCTGACTGTTTGTGTGTCATGACAGTCAAAGTGTATGATTGTTCCATTTATACTGAAACTCACAAATAATGAATCCAAATAAAACCAAAACGGCCCATTCATAGGTTATGTTTTTGTGTCTTGCTTAGAGACTACTTCACAATCAGCAGGAAGGTTGCTCTGCCCTAACCCTCCTAACACTGTCAGTGTGAATCGGGTAATAAAACAGACTGAAATCAATACCAATGGGTCTATGTGACAAATAAAAGCCAGCAAAAATATGATTTGAATATCGTTATTTTCACTGCTGCCACCAGGTGTTCTGTAGACTTACATAACTAATAGTCTGGTACAAATGAACCCAGTCCAAATGGTTTATTTGTTCTTGTTTATCTATGAGCCTGGTCCTTTGGACTTTGTGAGGTTCATGAGGTTTCATTTCTTGTGTGTGAAACCAAGCCAAAAGCTGTGTTTACTTTACAGTCACTTCTTGTCCTTGGTAACGATCAAACTGATTCAACCTTAATATCTCTGGGACTGTTGGTTTCATGTTTGACCAGTAGTCTCAATAAAACAGGACATAATAATGAGATAATTCAAAATATGCTAGTAAGGCTATCACTTACTCCTAGAACTAAGGCTTTCAGTAATTTCAAACTGTTGCGTTTGGCATTTGACCTCCTGCAGCTCAATAACTAAATATTAAAAATACAGTTGCTGTTCCAAATAGCTCTCAGTGATTTCTGCATGAGGAATAAAGATTATTTTCCTAATCTTTCCATGAAGTTTGTCTAAGGTGGCAGCTTGTGCTCATCTATTCAAGAAATCCTCACAAACGTCGTGTTAATCCATTTCTGCGCTGCCCGGCACCGACTGCACCACATATGCAAAACAATCTGTTTTATGTGTAGCCTTGCCAGCGTGTTTGGCAGACTGAGACTGAGCATTTTTTATTGTGTTATTTCTGATAAGTCATGTGGATCGGCTGCTTTAAATCCTGTGGCGTGACATTTACAGCAGCCTCTCCTATTGTCATTGATTTTACATGGAGGACAGATGGTGCTCGCATGCAAACCGGACAGGGCAGCGGAGCCTTACGAGTGCAAAGTGAGAGGGTCTCCAGGGTCTGCAGAAAGTTGTGTGTGAGTAACTATTTCTTGCATGCAAAACACTTGTGCATGACCTGTTACGTTAAAGTAAAGGCAGTTTTGACCTGTTTAACATTTTAAATTCCATGCAATATCTGTTGTTATTTTAGAGCCTCACAAAAGGACAGAAGGAAAGGTTTTAATGTCCTCAGTCACTTCAGACTTTGCTTTCAGCTGCAGCATGTGGCCGTCATGTTTTGAATTTGCATGATCGCACTGACAACATCAGATTTCAATGAGATGTGACACTGATGTGATGTGTTCTGATGCTTAGAGATAAAAACAAACAAAACAAAAAAGTTGTGTAATTGAAGCAGCAAGTCTGCATCAGTACACTCCATTGTTCTAAAAGTTTCTGTCCTTGTTTGGATTTACACATTTTAAAAGCCTCTTTGTCATTTCTGACAGATTATGAAACCTTGTGGAGTGGTGTCATGTGGCTTGGATTATCCACTTTATTTTTCTTTAAAATGTTTCACTTTGTTGTTATTTTGCTCTATGAAAAGCTATACTTTACAACATATTTCTAAACTCATTTAAGAGATCACATGTCAACATTTGTTTTTTAATTCTGACAGGTTTTTTTATCTCAATATTTTACAGTTTAATCTGTAATTGATGTAACTTTTCCTCGTTTAAATACTTAATAAATAAATAAATAAAAATAAACTTCACAGTCTTTATTTATAATGGATAAGTGTATGTTCTTTTTATTGATATCTAAATGGTCAGCCAGACGTAAAAGTTCATAGATTTTTTTAAATTAATACAAAAAAAGGAATTAAAAGGACAGTCACTAAATCTGAAATCTGCTGTGGAGCCCCTGGAGGTGGTGATGGGGAGAAGGATGATACAGAAACTGTTGAACATTATGGACAATAACATGCACCCCTTACACAATCTCGTGTGTGAACAAAAGAGTGTTTTTAGTGGGAGGCTACAGCAGCTGAACTGCAAAAAGGACAGATTTAAAAATACTTTTTTACCTACTGCAATTGCACTTTATAACGACTCCCCTTTAAGTAAGGACAGAAGACATTTAAACTTTTAAACTTTAGCCTGAGTTGCATATATCATATATCAAACTGTATTGTGGGCTCATGTTTTTTTGTATGGGTGGGATATGTATGTGTTGTGTTATGTGTTTGTATGTATGCTGGCTGCTGGAACACCTAAATTTCCCTGCTGGGATGAATAAAGTATATCTTATCTTATCTTCTAATAATGCCTTTTGGGTGTTTTTATTTAGGTCTGAAGGCCATCAGTTTTAATATAACAATTTTAAACAATTAAAAAATGACTAATAATTTAATGAAAAATTATGGTATTAATAGTTAATAGTTTTAGTTAAAAATATATTTAAATAAATAAATAATGCCATTTGCGGTTTTTTTTTCTCAACTTGTCTCTGACGGATAACAACTTCCGCCGTGACGTCACAGCTGCCTGCTGTCATGGCGACGTCCTGTGTGCGCACCGTGGGAGCTTTTCTCGGGAAATGTGGGAATTGCAGCGCGAATTTTAACACCGTGACGTCGCAGTTGAGCCGACAGGTAAAACAACGCGTTTGTCTTTCAGAGAATAAACCTTCGCGTATCTTAAATGAATGAAAATATCATAGAAATGTACTAAAATGCACGAGCACTGATGTCCTTGAGTTAGCATGCTAGCATTAGCCGGAACTTGCTTCACGGATGTTAGAAAAATACCTTTACCGACACTGTATTCTATGAAACCGGGCTTGAAAGACTGCTGGATAATTTCGTTTGGTAGATATGATTCTTAACAAGAGTTCGGCTTGCATTTTGGTAGCTGTGGATTTGTAATGCTGCAGATATTGAGCACATTAGCACAGTTTGGTTAGTCAATAAAATAACAGTACACGTCTGTCCTCATCCCCAGGTCCTGAGCAGGCAGATATGTGTGAGCTCTACCCTCCACAGAAAGAACCTGGCGGCTGCAGGGCCGGAAAAATTCACCCTGGAGTTCATCCAGAAGCAGGTGGAGGAGTACAACGTGGGGAAACGACACCTAGCTAACATGATGGGAGAAGACCCCGAGAACTTCACCCAGGAGGACATAGATGTAAGAAACACTGTGCAGCCATTATGCTTCACATCATAAATGAGTGTTCACGTTATCCACATGCTTTGTGTAAATCTGCTTTGGAGGTTTTACATTCAATGCATAGAGTTTGCCAACCCTTTTGGCTGTATGAGCAAAAAATCTGAGTGAAAGAAGTCAAAACTAGGGGAGCTGTACACTGCAGACTTCAACTAAACCACATTGACATACTGTCTTTCCAAATGGCTCTTTTTTTTAACCAAGAAATGTTGTTTTTTTATTTGAGGATGTTTTCCAGGATTGTATCTTATCTTTATTTTTAAAGATTTATTTTTGGGCTTTTTGTGCCTTTTTAATTCGGATTCAAAGTCATTGTGACAAGTGTGCCTTTTTGTAACGGTGTAACAAGACCCAAAAATGTCATTTTTATGATGACGGCGATTTTGATGTTCATGTCGGCGTCCAGCAGCAGGTTCTCGGTCTTCAAGCCTCGATGTACAATCCTCTTCTGGTGACAGTACTCCACTTCTGACACAATCTGGCGAAACTTTGCTCAGATTAGGATAGGACAGTGGATAGAGTTGGAAATCAGGGAGAGAGAGAGAGAGAGAGAGAGTGGGGATTGACATGCGGGAAAGGAGCCACAGGCTGGATTCGAACCCGGGCCTCCCGCGTTGAGGACTACTGCCTCCATACATGGAGCCACCAGCGCCCCTTATCTTTATTTTTGACTTAAAAGTTTGCTTACAATTGTGACCAACAGGGACAATAATTCTAACTTCTAGACAGCCGGCATCTCCAGGATTCAAAAAGTCTAAAGCATTTTAACGATTATTTGTTTCAACAGTTCAGTCACGGAAGGCCAAGTGTTTTTAATCTCCGTGGTCTCGTCACATCAGCGTCATCGTTTTTCACATCAGTGCTCGGCCAGCCGCAGGCAGGCGGGGCCACCTCTGGTTAATTCACTGCATCAGGGGCATTAGCAACGCCCTCAAATACACACACGCTGATGCCAGATTTTTGGCAAACATTGGTCCTCTCTGCTGCGACCATTTAGTTTGATTAACCACCTCCCCTCATCCCGTCCCCAGCGTCCCTCACAAATAATGAAGAGAGCTGTTAGAGTCAGACTGTGAAAGGCAAAGCGACGGCTAGCAGCCCGGGCTTCGACGTGTGGAGGAAAAAGAGGAACATTTGGGAGGACTGCAGAGAGGCAGCTGATAAATCCCTCCGCTCGGTGAGAGTCAAGTCTTGTCAGGTGGAAACGTGATAAAAACTGACTTTAACAGCGAGGAGGAGAAATTAACTCCTGCAACAAATACACAGAAATCTCCTGTTAAGCTTTAATATTTTATCTCATAAATCCCTTTTTGCTCGTACCCTAAATTTATTTTCAACCTTCTGTTTGACTTCCTGTTTGCACTGAAAGTGTTATAATATACTTTAATTTATCTATTATTAGAAATAAGTCAAAAAGTTGTTTCATTGAGATCCCATTAAACCAAATAATTTGTTTTCTTGATGCCCAAAACTGAAAAATTAAATTTAGTGCGTAATGACCTTTGCAATAATTGTATTAGTTACTAGAGAAATCAGAAATCAATAGAGACACGCACATCTCTAAAAGGGTGATGGATCTGAAAAAACAAAAGGTAAAAACAAGCAAAAAAAGATCTGCACACCAAGGAGCTCTCGTTTAAAGGATTTCTTGACAAATTACTCTTTTCGAGCCAACATGCTCTTCTTCAGACTAGAACTGTGGAACGAATTAAATCCATTGTCAACAAGTTCAAGTATAAAATGATTGTTTCAAGTTGACTACTAAAGAAAACAACCCAAACGGCAGGAGAAGATTTTGCTTTTGTCATAATCAAGAAGCTGGAGCCCCATGTTGTTTGGCTTATTGCTTGAAAATATTTTGTATTTTCTGTGACTTAAGTTATGGATTAATCAAGGCTTCTTTCAGCACTACTAGAAGTACAGTTCTGTGTCTTTAAAATCGATTTATAAGAGGATTGCGTCGTGTGTTGTCTGAAGTTTTCACACTTCCTGTGTTATGAGATGCAGCAGTAGACGGCCTTCTACTTAGTTTTTTTTCTGCATGCTTGTTAAAGTTTAGCCGATTATTTTCACAAAGTCATCATAATCCTTCAATTATTACGTACAGAACAGGCTTAAAAACAAATATCAAAGTGTACATTTTGGATTTAGACTTCCAACCAAAAAGGCTCAAACTCTGCAAGGCTGAAAAATAAATCAGAATAATATAAAGTACTTCTCATGCTCAGGTGTACAGGTGTCACTCTGTCATTCCTCCTCAGGGATATTCACCATTGTGTGCTGAGGCTCATGGGACACACAGGTGTGTCTTCATCTGTTACCTGCCTGTCTGTCTCGTCCCCTCTTTTCTTCCTCCCCCTTTAACTTCCCCACAACTGTCTGCCTTTTCCTGTCTCTCACACTCTATACACACACACACACACACACACACTCTACACACACACACACACACACACACTCTTCTGGACCGCTCTTTTTCTCTCTGCTATCCGTCGTTTTGAAGGCGGAAACCTGCTCGCTCCGGCTGCACCTGCTGCCTCGCTAATTGAACCGACGAAGAGGAAGAGGAGGAGGAGGAGGAGGAGGAGGAAGATGTGAACAGACTGTCTTGATGCGTGTGGCGGGGCCAACACACTTTCTGTCTCCTTTCTCTCACATACACACACGTTTCCAGCGCCATCTGTAGCCCTGCTAATAACTCACAAACACGCTCACACACACGGGGAGCGAGGATGAACTTGGAGTGAACTGTTGGACGTCCACCATGTCCTCTGCTCGCTGTCAGCCGAGCCAAAAGCTTGGACCTTTTACTGCTTGTTTCTCCTCGAAAAACACTCAACCACACGCACACACACACACACACACGTCATGCTCGCCTTTCCTTGAACCCGGCAGCAGCTTGTGCCTCCGCCTCTGTCACTTCTCGCTGTCGTCAGCCGGTGTGACCTCTGTTGTTGCGACGTGTCGGCGTTCGTCATGATCTGCCGTCATCTCTCCAACTTGTCCTCTCGCTCTCTTTTTGTCATTTAACTTTTTTTCTTTTCTTTTTTTTTCTTCCTCTTCTCTCACACACACAGAGGAGCATCACCTACCTCTTCCCCTCCGGCCTGTTTGAGAAGAGAGCGCGGCCCCTCATGAAGGTACGACTGTGCAGCTCACACTCATATAAACATAACCTTTCATTGTTTTCTGTTCAAAGATGAGCAAATATCCCCAAAATAGCCCTCAGCACATTTTATGACATTTCTATTTGTCTGTTGTTGATGTTTGACCTGATTTAAAACCAAATCCGCTGTTTTCTAGCATCCTGAGGAAATCTTCCCGAAGCAGACAGCCGTGCAGTGGGGAGAGGACGGTCGGCCGTTCCACTCTCTCTTCTACACGGGCAAGCAGTCCTACTACTCCCTGATGCATGTGAGTACTGCAGGCGGCTGTCAGTTCTTTATCTGAGGAGGTGGAGGTAAATCTTCATCCACCTCAAATCCCCGGTTTCCCCACCTCCCCTCGTCTGCCTCCTGCACCCTCGGGTCATATCTGATTCAGACAGAGTCGGGAGGAGGCGCGTCGTCCCCCGAGGAGAGGAGACGTCAGATCCTCTTTCACACACACACACAGTGAGAGAGACCCATCTGAGCGTAGAGGGGCGAGATAAAAGAGAGGGAGGGTAGAGGGTCAGAGGTAGTCCTGAGAGATACCTGCATCCACCTGTGCTTCACAGTGGGTTAACAGCCAGCTGATATTGCTCATTCTCTCCCTGCCTTTCTTTTTTGTTTTAGGATAACGGACAAACCACAACAAAGAACAGGCTCCTTACTGTCCAAACGTTTGGCTGTTTGCATTTCAGTTTCCAAACAAACATTTAACTGGAGACAAAGTTTGTTCAAAATTAAAGTTTATATATAACTCTGATATCCTCAGTGGGATAGTTAAGCTTTACCTTTTTGTCTCTGTCATTTGTGAAAGAGATCTTGATCTCAAAGGGTTAATTACCTGGTTAAATATAAATTCATTCAAGGGTTTATTTAGCTCAAACAAAAACACTCATTCCTGTTTAATTTACCCAGAATCATTATCTTGGATACTTTACCAGAAATGTTCATGGACACAGTTGACCCTGCATGCTTTACATTTGTGCTTGTTTCCAATTCCTGTGTTGATGTTTTCACACGCGCACAAGAAATCAAACAACCAAATTTTGTCCCGGGCTTTTTCCTCCCTTTACATTTTTAGCATGAAGAAATCAGTGAAATCAGAAATCAGGGGCCGAGTGTCTGTAACTTTCTAGAAATGTGCATGTGTGACAACGGTGTATGTTTCCTTTGTGGATTAGAAAGAAGGAAACAAAGCAAAACACTGGAAACACCTTTATTAAGAATATTAGACACATAAATGTTGATGTATGAGATAGAAGTGAGAAAAGGAAGAAAGGGCTGCAAAGAAAAGATGTAAAATAAATAAAATCGAATAATTTAGATGTTTCCTAAAAGATTTTGTCGAAAAATCCAAATAACCAGAAGGGGGCACCAAACTGCGTCTGGATTGGGGCCCTGCAGCGTGATGAGAACATGAATGGATGTTTAATTTAGCTGTTTTCAGATATAAATGAGGCAACAATTGAAGTCATGTTGAATCTAAATATTCAAAACATTCAGGTGTCGCGGGAGACGGATCAAAAATAAGCATCTGAGTGATTCTGTGCATGAGGTTCAAAATCCTGTTTGAGGTGTGGCGCGTCTGGCTCGTCAGGCTTTTGTCCCGCCACGGGGAGCGAGTCCTCCGTGGGGATTTTGGAGGGGAGAGTAGGGTGGGGTGGAGCATGTGAGGAGGAGGAGGAGGAGGAGGCTGCAACACCATCCATACCCCTCCTCACCTCTGAGCACCTCCTCTTTCTTCCTCCGTCTTTTGTCGCTGACCTTGTTCAAAGACGTATGTGCGGCGTGTTTCTTAAAAACACACAAATACACACACGCACGCACGCACACTATGCCCTGCAGACACACTCCTCACCCCCTGCTGTTTCTTTAAGAGGGTGTGTCAGACATGTCTCAGAGCTTTCTCTCCCCTTTTCTCCTCAAATTTCTCCGCTTGTTTTCCCACCTTTCTTGTCTTCTGTCTATACCAATTATTTTTTGAATGTGTTTTTATTTTATCAACAATAATCTCTCCCACACACACACACACACACACACACACACACACACACACACACACACACACACACACAGACCTCATGAGTGTGTCCAGGAGGGGGCATGTGTAAAGCAGCCTCTCTCCTCTTGCTGTTGTTGGCGGCTACATTAACCCGCCTGCTGTTCCACTGAGCCCTCTGTTTCTCTGCAACCCAGGGGGAACCTGAACGCACCACTCACACACCTTTTCCCCTTCACTTTAACCCTTTATAAACCAAAAGCATCACAATAATCAGATCCCACTTCAGAGCTTATTTCTCTTCAATTCAACTCTCATCGCTTCAGAGTTTAACTTAAAGGCCTCGTGATGCGTTTAGACGCCACGTATTGAATAGTAAATGTGAAAGTCATGCTCTCTCCCTGCCTTGAACATATCCCTCTCTTTCTTGTCTTTCACCCATGTGATTTATTCCTCACTATTGTCGTGCGAAGTGTTAGCAAACATGTAGCTCAAACCTTCCCCTTCTCCTCCTGTCGTCTATTTTTCTGATTTTCTATTACTCCTCTTTTTTTTTTAAAGAAAATTGGTTTTTGCTTCATGTTTGCTTTTTTTTTTCTCCACACATCCCGATCCCCCCTCCTCCCGTTACCCCCCCCCCCCCCCGTACCCCTCTGTCGCCGGTCGGAGTGGCAGCGGATTAGGCACACTCTATCAAGAAGGAATTAAACAAACATCTGGTGAATAATTGACGGGGAAATGAGTTCTCACCCCGGGCTGCTGGGAGGCTGAGGAGGGAGGGGGGTTGTCTTCTGCCTCAGGGACGTGACCGGCATGCCCACCTTCCCTCTACCCATCCATCTATCCATCCTTCCACCCGTCTGTTTCCGTCTCTACCATCCTCTCTTTTCCTAAAAATAGAGCCAGCGGGCCCAAAACTGGGGCCTGCTGGCTCTATTTTTTTTTTTTATAAACTAATTTATTTTAGTTTCACGCTTTCACTACACGTCACATTCATGCTCAGGTGTCCGGCCCGATTCATTCGATTGAAGAATAAGATGAAAACCAGAAGCCAATTTTTTTAAAGCCACCAACTCCAAAAACAGTGATTTCACCTCACCTCACAGATGATCTGCTGCTTTATCACCTCATGATCAGCGAGCTTTTTTTTTTTTTTAAAGGAAATCATTTGATAGATGCAAACTAACCATTTAAAACCCTTGAATCACACAGCAACACAAATCAACCCTAACTGGTCTTTAGGCTGTTAATTCATTATCCTGAATACTGTCTTCTTTTTCATGCTTTTTAGGAAATATACGGCAAAATCCTGAGCATAGAGAAGTACCAGGATCGTCTGAGAGCAAAGGGACTCTTCAGCCAGGACGTCAAGCACATGTGAGTAGACAAACACGAGGTTTAAACGGCAGATGTTTGTGAAACTCAACACTTTAATGTCACTCTTCATCTGTCTTTGAAATTACAAATGAACCACCTGATTTGTGTGTCTCCATCAGCTCTTTTGGAACGAGTCGATGGCTCACAAAGGAGGAACTAGAATCTCTGCTGGTGGAGACCATCTCCCCTCATGATGTAAGGACGTCCTCTCCTCCTCTGATCACAGCTGACACGTCTACAGACTACTTCTGGCGAGGTTTTTGCAGATTTTGATAATTATTTGTTTTGTTCCAGTACGACCGCCTCGTTAAGCTGATGGAGCGGCTGCTATCGATGCCGTACTGCGCCACAGAGGAGGAGTTCGTCCTGCGTTACCGACGGCAACTGGAGGCTCAGTCCAGGAAGCAAATGGTGCCGCCCCTGGAGAAGGATGAAAGAGGCGTGGCCTTCAGCACAGCAGAGGGTAAATTTGGTCATCGTGGTAACATGTCTCATCTTTAATTATCTCCCCAATAATTCCTCTTTAATATCTGTGAGTGACTTTAATGCTGCTCGGCCAAATCATCGTCTGTCCATCACATAAAGGTCTCAAAAGAGATCATATGACAGAAGATTTAGGGCTTGTCCCGCACCGTGCTGAAGCACAGCAGTCCCCCCTCCCCATTCCCCCGCTTGCCTGCACTCACACTGCTCCAGGACTAAGCCGCAATACAACACATGCATGGCTTTAAGTTATTATGAAGCGTGCTTAGTTTACAAGACAGGCTGAATCTAAAAATAGAAAAGGGAGGCGCGGTCAAGTCTGCAACTTTTCTGACTTTGTGGCTTATTTTGAGTCATTCTAGACAGATGGAGCCAGAACACTGCAGGATTTATTAATATAACTTTAAGTCTTTTAAATGAATCATAAACATGTAACTTTGATCTTCATGAAGCTGTGGCAGTCAATATAAAAGATCTAAACATCTCACAAATATCTCCACAGATATTAAATCAAATAAAAGTTTTTTTCTCTCTCTGTCAGGCCGGAGAAAAACATCAGAGTCGTCTGTTGTTCTACGAGACTGTGGCTCAGGACGAGTCAGCATCAACGGTCAGGATTACCTGCACTACCTCACCGTCCTCCAGGACAGGTACTCTCTCACTCTCTCTCTCTCTCTCTCTCTCCCTCTCTCTCTGCTGCTCCATTCACAGAAACACTCTCCTTTAAAATGCACGGCCTCATGTGTTTCACTCCGTCCTCTTAGGGGGAAAAAAAAATAAATTAAAAAGCAGCTTTTTCACTCTTCACAGCATCCCCTCTTTTTTTATTTATCTCCTTGTTGTGAGTTAATTACACAGTTCAGTGGTCGTGTGTGTGTGTGTGGCTGCACTGTGTGCGTGCGTGTGTGTGTGTGTGTGTGTGCGCGCTAAATGTCCTGAGCTGGTGTTGTCACGCAGTCTGAAGACGGGCTGTAATTGGAGCACAGAGGTGACAATTGACTCTGTCAGCAGCCGCAGGTCATTCAGGCTGAGACGCCATCCAGAACACACACTTTCTTTTCTTACCCTCACACACACACACACACACACACACGTTTTATCCCACTCCTGCTGAGTCAGAAGTTTCCTCTGTAATATGTGGCGGTGAGATTGTGGAATAAAAGCTTTCACGGCGTGAGGATCGTCTCTACTCGTCTGAAAAGTCGCTCATGCAGACATTAAATTTGCTCCTCCTGCGCTGTGATACGACTATCTGTTTGCTCGCACGAACACTCGGCCTGCGTTTCTTTCTCTCATTATCTCTGCGTCACTTTCTTCATCCTCTTCTTCTTCTTCTTCTGCACTCTTTTCTTGCGTCCTCACCCCTCAGAGAGCAGCTGATGTTCCCGCTGCAGTTCATGGGAATGCTGGGACGCTTCGACCTGGAGTGCAGCGTCAGCGGAGGAGGACGGTCGAGCCAGGCGGGGGCGCTGCGGCTCGCCGTGGCCAGAGCGATGTGCAGCTTCCTGTCGGAGGGAGAGGTGGAGACCATGAGACAAGGTGGGAGAGATTTTGTCCTTTCATTCAAATACTTGTAATACATAACTTGCGCTTTTTGTATGTATGTTTAATTTATTTCATGATTTGATTTAAGACAGAAGTAGCTCGTGAGGACGGCCGATCATTAACACTTAAGATACCCGTGCTTTCTCCTAAGCACCTGAATGCACCACAGAGAGTGTTTTTTTAAAACTAGAGGCCTGTAGTGAATTTAATGCAAAAGCAGAAACGTCATTAAGATATCACTGCAGGATTAATTCTCCCTAAAATTAACACATTTGGAGGGATTTTTATGTCATTTGATTCACGCTCTACATTTTGATGAACTAGCTGTGTGGACAACATGTTGGTCTTCACAGCTACACTTATACATCCTTGTTTCCTTTGAGCTAAAAGTAGCAGATTTTAGGAAATTGTGAGTTATTACGCTTTATTACAGATGCATAAATCTTCTGTTAAAGCTCTTAAAAATATAGAGATGGTTGATTTTATTTATTCACTTATGTCTCTTTAATAGAGGTAAAGATGGTGATTTAGTTAAAACCTCAAAAGGTTCAGATGTTAACTTAAGAGACAGAGCCAGACGAGACTTCTCCTTTCCCCTCGTGAGTTTCACTCGTGTGTTTCTGTTCCTTCCAGCTGGTTTGCTGACTCCAGACCCCAGAGTGAGGGAGAGGAAGAAGCCGGGCCAGGAGGGCGCACGAAAGAAATTCACCTGGAAGAAACGCTGAACAGGAAAAATGGTGTCACCTGAACTCAGACGTGAAACATGACTGACACTTGGAGTCCATCTGAGCAGATTCCTCGCCTTTGTCTTTTACGCCACGCCGCTTCTGTCCTCATCCGTATATTTATAATCTTACAAGAACAAAGTCGTGCTTTACAGGTGGAGCTGACTCTACAGGCTGCAGTGAGCCTGTTTGGCCAGCAGAGGGCAGTGTGTGCAGATGAAGTTGAATATATTTATGTGTATTAAACATTAAAATGACTTTTTGACATAAAAAAACTGAGTTCTAAGTGTTTTTCTGTAAATTTAAAAAAATAAAAATGCTGCCCATTTTAAGTTAAACTTAGTGTTTAAAAAAACCTCTTCACCAGGAGAGAACGTACTTTCTTTGTAGATAGTATAACAATGAGTAAGGTATTTTACCTGCTCTTTTGTAAAGTGTCTTGAGATGACATTTGTTATGAATTGGTACTATATGAATAAAGATCGATTGGTTGACTTGATCTACACATTTTGGTGTAATTGGACTTGTGGCCACAAGATGTCGCCAAATGAGCGCAATAAGAATCAATTTAGAACAATTTGATTATCAATGTTGACAATAATTGGATAATGATTCATAAATAAACTATTAATGTATTATTCACCGTGACCAAATAAACATAATATAACAATATTATTTCTATATAGAAATTAAATTGGGTTTTATCTAAAATAGATAGCTAATTTATGAATGTTTCACTGCCTTTAATGACCAGCTTTGGCCACTAGATGTCGCCAAGTAGAAGACCTATTAACCACATGTTTTTCCGAAAGTCCATTCTAATGACATGTTAAACCCTTTTGTTTCTGAATAATTGAATGATGCAATCCTGGATGTTCTTTACTAAAATCAGAAATGTTGGATGAATGAATGGACTTTCATTAGATCCGTTAACACACTATAAATTAATTGCATATTGATTTATAAGTAAATATGTGTTGTGCAATGTTTGTTTGGAGACAAATACAGGAAACTTTGATTCCCTTGAATTAGTTTAAATCAATTAGATTGTCAATTCATTGAATGTTGACTTTTAAATCGACTTTTACTTGTAAAGTATTTGTATTGAAAAAGATAAATATAAGGTTATTTTTTATTACAAGAAGGGCCAAAGTCGACTACACCTGCTGAGACGACTGAGGTCCTTTGGAGTGTGCAGAACTCTGCTACAGACCTTTTATGACACTGTGGTGGCGTCTGTACTTTTCTATGCAGTGGTCTGCTGGGGAGGAGGGAGCACAGAGAGAGACAGGAAGAGACTGAACAGACTGGTCAGGAGGGCTGTCTGTAGAGGAGGTGGGTGAGAGGAGGATGCTAGTGAAGCTGACATCCATCATGGACAACCCCTCTCACCCCCTGTAGACACTGTGGGGGCTCTGAGCAGCTCCTTCAGCAGCAGACTGAGACACCCACCCTGAAAGACAGAGCGCTACCGCAGGTCGTTCATCCCATCTCCCGTCAGACTGTTTAATCAGACTCTTAAACAGCATCACCACCTCATGACTCATATCAATAATGCTACACACTGTGTGTGTTTTCAATAACAATAACTCTTTCCACAAGTGGAAGTGTAAGATACCTTGTAATAGTCTATTATTGTATTTTTTATTTAACTGATAAACATATGTTATAACATATAAAAATATGTTTGATTTTTAACTTCTATTTTTATTTTTAATAATTATATTCCTGTTTCCTGTTTTCTTGAGCTTCTGTAACGCAAAAAGTTCCCCCATGGGGGCTCAATAAAGTTTATCTTTATCTTGAAATATATCATGATCTGAATGAAACACTAATAAGCTAACCCAGGAATTGTTCACAGCCTGTAATAACAAAGTGTGGCCACAAGATGCCGCCAAATATATATACGCGTTTACCATTATAATAATAATTTATAATTCAATTAAATCAGTTTAGAATAATTAAATCATCAATTAATTGGATATTAATATATAAATACTGTCTGTCTGCTACAGTCTATTACAGGAAACAATGATATAAGTTCTAAGTAATTGAAAGGGATTTGTTAAAGTTAATTTTAAGCACTAAACAGAAATATTACGCAGCCTGTGATAACAAGGTTTGGCCACCAGATGTCGCCAAATATCCAGCGTGCATGTCGGCTAGCTTGACTACACTTTAATCAATTCTAAACATTTGGAGTCTGCTCTATCGCTGCTAAACTACATGTTCCAGGACAGAGAAACAGAGACGTGTAAGTTATTGTTATTGTTTTATTTTAGAATGTTGTATTTTGTAATTAAAGATCTGAAATAGTTAATCTTTCTATTTTAAGAAAACGTCTAATAAAGAAATGAATCACTGCCTGTAATGACTAGCTTTGGCCAAAAGATGTCGCCAAGTGTGCATGCACGTAGACCAGGTGTGCCTTTGCTCCATATGTTACACTTTAATCAGTTTAAATGAATTAGATTATCAATTAATTGGATGTTCATTTATAAATAAACAATGAGTGGTACAATATAAACAGCTTTCAAATGATTATTTTAGTTGAAATTGAAATGATATACATTGTCATAAATGTATAATATAATTTGAAACTTTGAATGAAGCCCAGAATTTCGTCTGACAGGTGCACATCTACCTGTAATCAAGCAGCTTTGTTAATTGGGTGGAGGCTTGTGTGTGTGTGTGTGTGTGTGTGTGTGTGTGTGTGTGTGTGTGTGTGTGTGTGTGTGTGTGTGTGTGTGTGTGTGTGTGTGTGTGTGTGTGTAGGATGGGTGGAGTCATACAGTCAGAGTCAGTCTCTCATTAGTCCAGATCAGACAGACGTACCAGACAGAGTACTACCGCTACCAGAATACAGACGGCAGTGTGAGGGCGTCGGGTGAGCGTGGAGCTACCTGTCCTCCATTTCTCTTCCACGTTGGAGGTGCGCTCATTTGGAGTGATTTCATTGTGTGTGTTTTTTTTTTTTTTCTTCCCTTCCTTCCAATGGAAGCAGCGGTGCTGAACCCCGCGATAATGCCGGAGGTGGACTGCAACAGAAACACCCTGAACGCCGAGCTGGAGGTGAAGAAGCTGCAGGAGCTGGTGCGGAAGCTGGAGCGGCAGAACGAGCAGCTGCGGACCCGGGCGAGCGGCTGCACCGGCGGGCCGCATGCGCTGCCGCCGGCCCCGGCGTTCAAGACCTACTGCCGGCCCAACCCACTGCCTTCACCGCTCTGTCAGCCGTCCTCGGGGTCCTTCACGCCCACGGAGGAGCCTTTCCAGCTTCCACCCTACTTCCACCCTCACACAGGCGGGGATGGAGCGGCTGCTGCTTGGGAGGAAGATGATGGGGAGGAAGCATCCGAGCCGTCGGTTCTGGACGAGCTGGAACTTTTGGACCTGGACTCTCTGTCCTGCTCGGATCACTCTGACGAAACCTGGTAAATATCTACTCTTTCTGTTCATTTTCAACCATTTGTTGCTCTGTGTTAGGGCATGCATGTTGCACACAGAGGCCACATGTATGATTTAGAGATCCTGCTGCTCATTGTTTGTGGGGTTTTTTTTTTTTTAGTCCTGCATCCTCCAACACTGAGACAAAGCAGCACACCTGGACAGTGAAGCAGGCAGCAGAGAGGAAGAGAGGATACTTGTTATAAGGCCTGCATTAAGCTGTCATTCTTCAGATCCTCTTTGCAGGAGAACACATTCATTTCACCATGGCTGCCTTCACATTGCATTGCTCTGTCCACACTGCAACACAAGGAACATTTCTAATCCCTCATGCCAGGTTTCTGCTTTACTTCTCCCCTAAAAGTAGCTGAAAAACCAATCCTGTAAAGAAAACATTCACACTTCTTTTCATGGTCTTCTACTGAAGAAATTATGGAAAAATGTTTTGTATTGTTTTTTCTGTTTGGTGGTCGCAAAGATACAAATTGACGACAGGGCGTGAAAGTTTGCAGCATGAATGAACCATCCTGTGGACATCTCAAAAATGAACATTTCAGTCTTTGTGGTTTTCTTTTCATGCAAAGAGCTCAAATCGATCTGGAGGAGTAAATGTAGTTTAAACTTCAGTTTTAAGTCCTTTTCGAAATGTGTTGCAAAGCGAAGAGATGCTTAAAATCAGGAAGCTTGCAGCAACAACCAATCATTCATGAAAACAAAGCAACAGGAAGCTTGCAGACTTTAAACAGTTAACAGTTAAACAGAGGCTGCACTCGTTCATGTTAGATGTTAGTGATTGACAGATAATCAATAAGTTGCCTTTGATAGGTCCGTTCAACTTCAACTTGAAATAACTTTATTTATTCGTTAGGAACTTCAGTTGTGTAAAAAAAAAAAAGTGTGCACACAGCTCAGCACAAAGAAACACACACATTTCGACGCCCAAAGTGCACTGACAGGTGATGTAAATAGAACCAAAGCAAAGTCTTTAAATGGCCTGTTTTTTTGTCCCATTATAATCAGTCGATGGGGACGAGAAATGAGGAGTAATCAGTGTCAGTCTTTGAATGAATGAGCTGTAAAATAATCATGTTATAGACGTATTGATGAAACAACTAATCACTTCAATCTCAGCTCTGGAAACAGTTACTATCAGTGTGTTTACATGCTGAGAGTGACACTTTGAGCTAAGACACGGAGTCACAATCAGGAAGAGAAGTTTAGTGTTTGAAACGTGTATATGTCTTTGTCCAGAGTGTGACGTGTTTATTCAGAGACAAACTCTGAATCAGAAGTTGATGCTGCAGATTCCTGCTCAAACTACCAACCTTGTGCAAAAGACACCAACAGGAAGACAGCGGAGCGTTGTTTGTAGGCGCCTATAAACCGGAGTAAAGGGTAACAGATTGATGATGTCACCAGAAACAAAGTACAGACTTATAAATATGTCACCAAAACATTCCAATAAATCAATCCAGAGGGATGTGAAGAAAGGAGTAATCAGGGTTTGTCTTCTAAGTGAATGACTCTGAGTTATTATTCTGTCAATAGACGTATTGATTAACCAACCAATCACAGCAGACCACGCTCTAAATACAAAATCCATTTGAGGGAGATTTCTGTGCAGATTCTCTCAGCGCTCGTCGTTGTTCATAACACAGCATGATAACCTCCTCTGTGCAGGAACCGTACCGGCTGCTTTTACATCGTGTTTCTCTTTCCACTGTGCCGATCGAGAAATCGAAACCCTAAACCGCCGCGAGAGTTTAAACGCTGCGATGTAAAACCAAAGTGGACATGTTGTTACAGCCAACTTTTCTTCTTC